CTATAGACTAGACTGTAGCCTAGTTTATAGTCTGGACTACAGACTAGACTGTAGCCTAGTTTATAGTCTGGACTACAGACTAGACCGTAGCCTAGTTTATAGTCTGGACTATAGACTAGACTATAGTCTGGACTATAGACTAGACTGTAGCCTAGTTTGTAGTCTGGACTATAGACTATAGTCTGGACTATAGACTAGACTATAGTCTGGACTATAGACTAGACTATATATATATAGTCTGGACTACAGACTAGACTATAATCTAGACTATAGACTAGACTATAGACTGGACCATATACTACACAATGATCTGGACTATAGACTAGACTATAGTCTAGACTATAGACTAGACTATTGTCTGTGCTATAGACTAGATTATGGACTAGATTATAGGTTAGACTATAGTATGGACTATAGACTACACTATAGTCTCGACTATAGACTACACTATAGTCTCGACTATAGACTAGACTATAGTCTCGACTATAGACTAGACTATAGTCTAGATTACAAAGTAGACTATGGTCTTGACTATAGGCTATACTACAGTCTGGGAAATGCGAAAACGGAACTGAAAACAACTTAATGATCACCGGTTAGTTATTCTGTAGTTTATAATCTCCACTGAATGAGGACGGCCTAAGTAGTTTAAAGCACATCTGTCGGACTATCTGCCGTTTTTGTCTCTTCTGTCTTAACCATTCATCAACAAATTTTAGATATTCACCAACTTTTTATGATTTCATTCAACACCTCTTTTTTGAACCTCCCTCTGCTACTTGAAATACAGGAACTAAATAATAGCAAAAAACTATTATAGCTTTCTGTTAAAATTTTTACATAAATTGCATGAACGTATAGTACGTTACAGAAACATGATAGTCAAAAAAACACCCAAAAAAAGTAGAAAAAGACTAATAAAAATAAATAAAATAAGTTTGAAGTAATAAAGCCCAACACATATTATGTATTGCATCTGAAGAAAAAAATATTCTTTATAGATTTTAGTCACGTTTTCAAATATTTGGTATTATTTTGGAGTTTGTTTTTTGTTTCAAAAAGTTTGTTTACGTAATAACTTGTTGTTTTATATATATATATTTTTTTTTTTGTATCAACAACTTAGGGGAAATAAATTTTGTGCACAAAAAACTAAATTAATAGAGAAATACAAAAAAAAGACAAGTTGTAATACATATTTTAATAATGACAATAATGATTATTAATACTACAATGACATAGATAAAAACAACAAGACAGACGCACTTAACAATAATATAAAAAAAATATATTTATTAAAAATATGTGTTAAAAAATGTTTGTTTAAAAAAATTTGAAATGACCACAAGAATTAATATGAAGTCATTAAGAGTGTCAAACCAACACAGATAGATAAAGTTATTTTTTTTTCTTGTTTTGTTTTTTTACAGCATCCCAATCCGATGGAGGAGGAAAAAAATTTTATACAAAAATGTATTATTACACAAAAGATTATTAAATAATAATTCAATTTTATGGTTTAAACGTCATCTGCAGTCAAATAAATATTTTATATTAACATGTGTATAGCTAGATGTGTTGCAAGAGATTATGTTTGGATGGGTTAGACTGATGTTTGAAAGAGTGTTTTTATATGATTGACTTAAAATCCCTTCTTGAAACGGTTTGTCTGACAGACAAATGGACAAATTGTTATATAGATAAACAGACAGACAGACAGAAAGACAGACAGACAGACAGACAGACAGACAGACAGACAGACAGACAGACAGACAGACAGACAGACAAACAGACAGACAGACATACAGACAGACGGACACACAGACAGACGGACACACAGACGGACGGACGGAGAGACGGACAGACATACCTTTAATCTCTTAAAGTAGTATTTTTCATTATTGGTCCGCAATTGGCCTACTTTCGAGTATGTCGAGCTTGTTCACATTATTTATTAAGACATTTTTCAAAATCTTTTAAAACTGCGAAAACCACAAAGTTCCAAACTATTTCTATTGCAAATTAAACATCCCTTCATTAACCAATGATTACATTAATTTAATTCTCTGCTTTTAATAGATCTTTATAAAATGTTTTCACATGTTTATTGTCATTGTTGAGTACCAGTTGTTTAGTACTTGCAGTCTGTCTGTGCGTCCGTCCGTCCTTAACTCATATAAATAAATAGTTGTTTTCTACAACTTCTTCTTTTGTTGATTATTCAGGGTCATCAAATGTTAAGTGGGTCTTCCTAAGACGCCAACAACAACAACAACAATAATGCATAAATTTTCAGATGCTGCCAAAGAGTTACATGCCATTAACATTAACAACAACAACTGAAAAGACACACACGCTCGCTCGATTGTCCACATATTTTACAATAAATATTCAACTTGTATTGTTTTATGGAATTAATAATTTCACAGCTTATTTTAAATTAAATAATTAACAGACAACAAAATTTAACTTAAGAATGTTTATTGTTTTTGTTGTTATTGTATTTAAAAAAAGCTTTTTGTTAATCTTGTTTGAAAAGCTTTTGGAAGTAAGTGTTCTTTTGTTTTTGTGTAATTGAGTGAGAATCAATGCAAAAGTTTTTTTCAATTTGAGTGATTTCGAGTCGTTGGATTGCAAGTGTAGAATGAAAATGAAAGCTTACAATACACAAGAATGTTAGTGAGGAAGTAATACAGAGGGAATTCTGATTGATCTACACCGTTTACTAATGAAAATGAGAATATGAATCAAGCACAGACTAACCTTTAATCCAAACTACAGACTGATCTTTAGTATCAACTTTAGATTGATCTATAATATAAACTATAAACTGATCTAAAGCCTAGACTAATCTTTAATCTAAATTACTGACAGATCATTCATCATCAACTATAGACTGAACTATAGTCTTATTAGATCTTCATTCTCAATTATAAACTGATATATAATCCAAATTATAGAATGTTCAACTATAGAATGATCTATAGTCTCAGCCATAGACTGATCTATAGTATCTCAACTATAGACTGATCTATAGTCTCAACTATAAACTGATCTATAGTCTCAACTATAGACCGATCTATAGCCCCAACTATAGACTGATCTATAGAGTCAGCTATAGATTGATCTATAGTCTAAACTATAAACTATTCCATAGTATAAACAATAGCCTGATGTATAGTATCAACTATAGACTGAACTATAGTTTCAACTATAGATTGATCCACCATCATAACTATAGACTGATCTATATACTCAACTATAAACATATAATCTAAACTACATAATGTTCTATGGTCGTAACTAAAGAATGATCTATAGTCTCAACTATAGACTGATCTATAGTCTCAACTATAGACTGATCTATAGTCTCAGCTAAATAATCTATAATCTAAACTATAGAATGTTCTGTGGTCTCAACTATAGAATGATCTATAGTCTCAGCCATATACTGATGTATAGTCTCAACTATAGACTGATCTATAATCCCAACTATAGACTGATCTATAGTCTCAACTATAGACTGATCTATAGTCTCAGCTATAGACTGGTCTATAGAGTCAGCTATAGATTGAGTCTAAACTATAAACTGTTCTATAGTATCAACTATAGACTGATGTATAGTATCACCTATAGACTTAACTATAGTCTCAACTGTAGATTGATCCACAGTCATAACTATAGGCTGATCTATTTACTCAACTATAAACTGATATATAATCTAAACTACAGAATGTTCTATGGTCGTAACTAAAGAATGATCTATAGTATCAGCTATAGACTGATCTATAGTCTTAGCTATAGACTGGTCTATAGTCTTAGCTATAGACTGATGTACAGTCTCAATTATAGACTGATCTATAGTCTCAACTGTAGACTGATCTATAGTCTCAACTATAGACTGATCTATAGTCTTAACTATAAACTGATATATAGTCACAACTATAGACTGATCTATAGTCTCAACTATAGACTGATCTTTAGTCTCAACTTTAGACTTATCTATAGTCTGAACTATAGACTGATCTGCAGGCTCAACTGTTTTGCAGTCTAAACTCTGCACAGATCTAAAGTGTAAAATCTAGACTGATCTATAAGCGCACTGGTCTAACCTATTGTCTACAACTCTTAAACGGAACTGTAGTTTTGTCATTACATTACTTCATCAGTAAAAAATCTTTATGATTAATTCAATTTCTCCCTTAGAAACAGTGTTTCGATATTTATTAAACAACAACATTCCCCAGACACAATTCTTTACCCACCTTAATTCAATTGTCATTAGGCGACAATACAACAGTCATGACCGCTAACTACACTTGTTCATTTATTTATTTATTGTACATAATATTTATTTATTATTCTGTAACTAAAATCCATCATTGATTTTCACGGTTTTAATTTAATTTAAGTTGACAAAAAAAAAAAAAGTAAAGAGGGCAAAAATGTTACTCTCACTGATTAAAATATGTGTACTAGAGGTGATGGGCAATTAAGGGCCGTAAATAAAAATAGTACTTTTAAGGTACTAAAAGAAAACGTCAATTAAGAACTAATTCATTAAAATTTAACTGTTTGAATAACAGAATGTAATTAGTTGTGAATTAGGATTAAAATATTGTATTAAGAAAAAGTACTAAACTTTACCCGGGGATTATTAAGGTACTTCAATACAAAATGGACTAAATGGAAATGTAACAGTTAGAAAGCTTTATTTGTAGCTAATGTAGTTATTTATCTCAGATTTGTCACAAAAAGTACCTTAAAGTAGATAAAAGTACTTTATTCTTCCCCAACCTAAGTACCAGCAGAATTCAGAAAGAGTATTTGGGAGAAAATATTGAGCATAAACAAAACTCTTTCAATAGCAGTACTTTTTGTTCAACTGCTATTAAATTATTGTGGGTATTAGTTGTGTCTTCAATTAATGGCGCTTACAGAGGGGTCTTTAATGACAATTGACCACAAAACGTCACCAATGTGAGTAAAGCAGTAGTGGAAGCAACAACAATAACTACGAAAAACCAGAGCAAGATCACTCTAAGCAGTAGTAAAACGTAGTAAATAAGTGTTGTAGTTTTATAAACGCATTTGTAAAGTAAGTGAGGCGTTAAAGTGCGCTTATTTTTTGTTTCAAACTTTTAAAAAATAACAACAATTCAAGGCGCTAGACTTTAAAAAGACTGAAAGAAAATAATGTTAAGAGGCATTATAAATAAAACAAAAAAGATTATTTGATTTACAACAAAGTTAATTGAAATAAATTTATAAGTCTGTAATTGTTTTAAATACCATTTGTGTAAAAGTGATTTCTTTAGTGGGCTGTTAAATTTGGAGAAAAAACAACAATAACAAAAATTTATAATTTCAATGAAACAAATAAAATAATAATAAAATTAAAAAAATAGTGAAATAAAACACGCTGTTAATTACCGAAGCGTTAACGACTGATCTTGAATTCATAAACTAGTTATTAAATTAGTAAATGAAAAATCATAAAAATGTATTTTTTTAATCTATATTTTGTTGCCAAATGAAAATGAATTGCAGCAACAAATTATTAAGCAAAAAGTGAAATTTCTTTTAACATCGATCAGCAATAAAAGAAATCATCATTAGAAGATAGAAAGAAAAAAAAAAAAAAAGATTTTGGAATTTTACACCCCCTTAAGCAGTACAGACTGAGCATTGTTGCAGTAATAAAAAGAAACTATATTTTCAATCTTGCAGGAAAAAAACAGGTAAATATTGAGTTTGAAAACAAATCTAAGAAACCTCTTCAAAAAATGAGGTCCACACAGTTCTAAATAACACAAAACAACACAATTTAAAAAAAGCTTATAAAGTCTATAGTCTATTCTATAGTCTAGCTTATAGTCTAGTCTATAGTCTAGTTTATAGTCTAGCCTATAGTCTAGTCTATAGTCTATTCTATAGTCTAGTCTATAGTCTATTCTATAGTCTAGTCTATAGTCTAGTCTATAGTCTAGTCTATAGTCTAGTCTATAGTCTAGTCTATAGTCTAGTCTAGTCTATAGTCTAGTCTATAGTCTAGTCTATAGTCTAGTCTATAGTCTAGTCTATAGTCTAGTCTATAGTCTAGTCTATAGTCTAGTCTATAGTATAGTCTATAGTCTAGTCTCTAGTCTAGTCTATAGTCTAGTCTATAGTCTAGTCTATAGTCTAGTCTACAGTCTAGTCTATAGTCTAGTCTAGTCTAGTCTATAGTCTAGTCTATAGTCTAGTCTCTAGTCTAGTCTCTAGTCTAGTCTATAGTCTAGTCTCTAGTCTAGTCTATAGTCTAGTCTATAGTCTAGTCTATAGTCTAGTCTCTAGTCTAGTCTATAGTCTAGTCTATAGTCTAGTCTATATCTAAGAAACCTCTTCAAAAAATGAGGTCCACACAGTTCTAAATAACACAAAACAACACAATTTAAAAAAAGCTTATAAAGTCTATAGTCTATTCTATAGTCTAGCTTATAGTCTAGTCTATAGTCTAGTTATAGTCTAGCCTATAGTCTAGTCTATAGTCTATTCTATAGTCTAGTCTATAGTCTATTCTATAGTCTAGTCTATAGTCTAGTCTATAGTCTAGTCTATAGTCTAGTCTATAGTCTAGTCTATAGTCTAGTCTAGTCTATAGTCTAGTCTATAGTCTAGTCTATAGTCTAGTCTATAGTCTAGTCTATAGTCTAGTCTATAGTCTAGTCTATAGTCTAGTCTATAGTATAGTCTATAGTCTAGTCTCTAGTCTAGTCTATAGTCTAGTCTATAGTCTAGTCTATAGTCTAGTCTACAGTCTAGTCTATAGTCTAGTCTAGTCTAGTCTATAGTCTAGTCTATAGTCTAGTCTCTAGTCTAGTCTCTAGTCTAGTCTATAGTCTAGTCTCTAGTCTAGTCTATAGTCTAGTCTATAGTCTAGTCTATAGTCTAGTCTAGTCTAGTCTAGTCTATAGTCTAGTCTATAGTCTATAGTCTAGTCTATAGTCTAGTCTATAGTCTAGTCTATAGTCTAGTCTATGTCTAGTCTATAGTCAAGTCTATAGTCTCTATAGTCTAGTCTATAGTCTAGTCTATAGTCTAGTCTATAGTCTAGTCTATAGTCTAGTCTATAGTCTAGTCTATAGTCTAGTCTATAGTCTAGTCTATAGTCTAGTCTATAGTCTAGTCTATAGTCTAGTCTATAGTCTAGTCTATAGTCTAGTCTATAGTCTAGTCTATAGTCTAGTCTATAGTCTAGTCTATAGTCTAGTCTATAGTCTAGTCTATAGTCTAGTCTATAGTCTAGTCTATAGTCTAGTCTATAGTCTAGTCTATAGTCTAGTCTATAGTCTAGTCTATAGTCTAGTCTATAGTCTAGTCTATAGTCTAGTCTATAGTCTAGTCTAGTCTAGTCTATAGTCTAGTCTATAGTCTAGTCTATAGTCTAGTCTATAGTCTAGTCTATAGTCTAGTCTATAGTCTAGTCTATAGTCTAGTCTATAGTCTAGTCTATAGTCTAGTCTATAGTCTAGTCTATAGTCTAGTCTATAGTCTAGTCTATAGTCTAGTCTATAGTCTAGTCTATAGTCTAGTCTATAGTCTAGTCTAGTCTAGTCTATAGTCTAGTCTATAGTCTAGTCTATAGTCTAGTCTATAGTCTAGTCATAGTCTAGTCTATAGTCTAGTCTATAGTCTAGTCTATAGTCTAGTCTATAGTCTAGTCTATAGTCTAGTCTATAGTCTAGTCTATAGTCTAGTCTATAGTCTAGTCTGTAGTCTAGTCTAGTCTATAGTCTAGTCTATAGTCTAGTCTATAGTCTAGTCTATAGTCTAGTCTATAGTCTAGTCTATAGTGTAGTCTATAGTCTAGTCTAAAGTCTAGTCTATAGTCTAGTCTATAGTCTAGTCTATAGTCTAGTCTAAGTCTAGTCTATAGTCTAGTCTATAGTCTAGTCTATAGTCTAGTCTATAGTCTAGTCTATAGTCTAGTCTATAGTCTAGTCTATAGTCTAGTCTAAAGTCTAGTCTAAGTCTAGTCTATAGTCTAGTCTATAGTCTAGTCTATAGTCTAGTCTATAGTCTAGTCTATAGTCTAGTCTATAGTCTAGTCTATAGTCTAGTCTATAGTCTAGTCTATAGTCTAGTCTATATCTAGTCTATGACTAGTCTATAGACTAGTCTATAGTCTAGTCTATAGTCTAGTCTATAGTCTAGTCTATAGTCTAGTCTATAGTCTAGTCTATAGTCTAGTCTATAGTCTAGTCTATAATCTAGTCTATAGTCTAGTCTATAGTCTAGTCTATAATCTAGTCTATAGTCTAGTCTATAGTCTAGTCTATAGTCTAGTCTATAGTCTAGTCTATAGTCTAGTCTATAGTCTAGTCTATAGTCTAGTCTATAGTCTAGTCTATAGTCTAGTCTGTAGTCTAGTCTATAGTCTAGTCTATAGTCTAGTCTATAGTCTAGTCTGTAGTCTAGTCTATAGTCTAGTCTATAGTCTAGTCTATAGTCTAGTCTGTAGTCTAGTCTATAGTCTAGTCTATAGTCTAGTCTATAGTCTAGTCTATAGTCTAGTCTATCTAGTCTATAGTCTAGTCTATAGTCTAGTCTATAGTCTAGTCTATAGTCTAGTCTATAGTCTAGTCTATAGTCTAGTCTATAGTCTAGTCTATAGTCTAGTCTATAGTCTAGTCTATAGTCTAGTCTATAGTCTAGTCTAGTCTATAGTCTAGTCTATAGTCTAGTCTATAGTCTAGTCTATAGTCTAGTCTATAGTCTAGTCTATAGTCTAGTCTATAGTCTAGTCTATAGTCTAGTCTATAGTCTAGTCTATAGTCTAGTCTATAGTCTAGTCTATAGTCTAGTCTATAGTCTAGTCTATATTCTAGTCTATATTCTAGTCTATAGTATAGCCTATAGTCTAGCCTATAGTCTAGTCTATAGTATAGCCTATAGTCTAGCCTATAGTCTAGCCTATAGTCTAATCTATAGTCTAGTCTATAGTCTGGTCTATAGTCTAGTCTATAGTCTAGTCTATAGTCTAGTCTATAGTCTAGTCTATAGTCTAGTCAATAGTCTAGTCTATAGTCTAGTCTATAGTATAGCCTATAGTCTAGCCTATAGTCTAGTCTATAGTATAGCCTATAGTCTAGCCTATAGTCTAGTCTATAGTCTAGTCTATAGTCTAATCTATAGTCTATAGTCTAATCTATAGTCTAGTCTATAGTCTAGTCTATAGTCCAAATTACACATAAATAATGGATTTTTATATAGGCCAAGGTAAGCTATAATCGTAGTCTCAGTACAATAAAAATCAAGTGCCCAACTTCTGCCAAATCGAAGCAATAATTTTTCAAAACTAAATTCTTCTTAAAACAAAAATTGTCTAGTCTATAGTCTAGTCTATAGTCTAATCTATAGTCTATAGTCTAATCTATAGTCTAGTCTATAGTCTAGTCTATAGTCCAAATTACACATAAATAATGGATTTTTATATAGGCCAAGGTAAGCTATAATCGTAGTCTCAGTACATAAAAATCAAGTGCCCAACTTCTGCCAAATCGAAGCAATAATTTTTCAAAACTAAATTCTTCTTAAAACAAAATTGATAATAATAATCATCCACTCAAAATGTTCCCAAAAAAGACAAAAAAGCCTAATTGACAGTTAATCAACGACGATCATCCCTCCAATTGAGAGACATACTATATATTCATCAGTATTTTGATTAATCAAATGAACAAGCGAGCGAGCGAGTGAAGAGCCAAATGGTCAGTAAAATTTGTAATCACCCCCACCTTATACTACATTGACATGTTCTCATTCACTCTAGTGCAGACACAATCAGTCACATTGTCTGTGTGACTGAATGTGAGATGATCATTGATCAAAGTTTAATTTAATGTTTATGCTTATGAGGCATGCAACAGTGGAAGAGGGTCAGAACATTATCTCATCTAGTTAAGTTATTTATTAATATGAATCAGTATCTTTTGGTTTATAAATTAGAGAGACCACAGTGGTGGTTAAAAATATAGTAATGAAGTGAATTATCTTCATTTTGGTAGTGCACATAAAAAGAAGACTGTTGTCGTTTTTCAATTTCCTAACGTTTAGTTGAACATAATTGATTGGGAAATAAAAATATGGTAAATTTTAAAAGCTATAGCCCTACATTTTTCCTCCTTACTGTTTATCCCTGCGAACTGTTTTGAAAATTTTGTTCCTCTTCATTTTATTTTTATAATTTTTGTTAAATTTCTGAGTTGATCTATATCTACAACATCGTTGTAATTCAGCTGAACATTATCATCATCAAAACCATTGCCATCATTGTAATTTTTAGCATCACCCATAACACTAAATGTCAATAGGCTAAACTAGCTTTATTTGTGTCACATTTTTTTTGCCTTCATATTATTATTAATATGGGAGTTTAGAGCAATTTTTCAACTTATTAGAGTTTTTGTGTCAGTTTTTTTGTCTTCTTCTCTTTAACAGTTTTAAATTGACAGTTAACATTAATCTTAATAAAGAAAAGCAGACGAAATACATACAAAATAAAACTTTAGTCGGATTTTAGTTTTTTAATTCCAGTGTTATGTTTCAGTTTTTTTTAAGTTTATCGGGGGCAATACACATACATATTTAAATTAATAGCCAAATGTAAAGAAGGCGTTAATTTAAGCAAAAAAAAAAAAAAAAAATAATAATAATTTTTGGTGTTATGAACCGGAAGTGCTTCAATTTGGGGAGAGTA